ATTAAATAAATAACTCGAAAATTATTACCAATATCTTTGTATATACATTAGACATTCATAAAATTTTCGTAATAAATAATTTTTAATGGTTTCTTTAATAATCAACATTACATAAAGTTTTTAACTACTTTTTTTAATGTTATCGTAGTTTTATCAAAATATGTAACAACGACACATTCTTGCTTTTTTGTGGCAAAGCTCAACATATTTGGCATCTTAATCAATAAGAACTTTGCTACTCATAATAGCAGATAAGCTTTCATAAGTTTGAAAACATACTATTTTGTTTTTCTAAAATAAAATCAGTATTTTCATGCTATAGTAGAACATTTTAAATGCTTAAAATCCTGAATAGTAGTTTTCAAATATCAAATAAAATTGATAAAAAATACATAAATGACAAAAATTTTAGTTTTCCTATTTTTAAAGGAACTTAAAAAAAAAATTTGTTTCTCGTAATGGTTGTGTGCATCAATAGTCCTTAAATAAAAAGTATATTTTGGAGCGAAAAGTTTATTTAACATAACTAATTATCCATCTTTAATAATGTTTCAAAGATTGTAATAGTACTTACGAAAAATGTATCTAAAATGACACTTGCAAAAACATTATCATTTTTCCTTACAAAATTAGTTCTTTGTTACTTAGAGGTATAAGGAGGAGATATCGTTACTTAAATTTATTTGCCAAATGTAGAATCATGCTGTAACTGTGGATGGTATGTTTAAGTTTATTTGGCCCTAGAGTCAGAGGTGGCAATACTGTGTCAATCACTGTATTGAAGCAGGAACTTTTAAAAACGCAATCATTAAAGTTCCCGATAAAAAAATGTTATTAAATTAATTGAACCTTTCATCTGCTAAATGGATAGAACTTGGTGACGCATTTAATTAAGAAAAAATTACGGTTTGATAATTTATAACTTAATAATGCCTTAAAAATAGACAAATTTTTTTTTATATTGGTTGCAAATCTTAAAAAAAATGCATGATTGGCAAATGGCAGTTCGGATACTTTCCTTTTTAGATTTCGACGATGAAAATATGTGTTTAGATATCGTGAAAACTATTCAATGCACTCAACTCTCTTTAGTTCCTAAAAAGATGTGGAAACTAAAAACTCGAGTATAGCAAACTTTTTGGGACTTTCTCTTGCTTCAATGTTTTGATTAAAAATGAAAAGAATATGGTTTTTATAACATTTCTTCAATAAATAGCTTTAGCTCCAGAATGAAATGTTATAATTTTAAATAGCTTTTCTATGAGGCATGTAGTAATTGTTATATAGTCATGCATTTCTACATTTTGGCACAAATTACGAATGAGAAGCTTATGAATAAGTTTAATTGGGACAATAGCAACTTGATGCTACATCTCTTATGATGCCAAGAAATCATCAATAAACTTTGAAATTCGGACAAATTTTCGAGATGCCTTAATAAAGTTATAGTTATAAGAAGGTAAATAAAATATAAAGTTATCGTGTAATGGACGATTAAGATAATTTTGTTGCAGAATTTTGCATGAAAAAGTTCCTCAGTGAGTAAATAATAGAGTCAATTAACAATAAAGATTTTCAAAGGAACGAGACAAATATTATAAACATGAAAAAATTATTCATAACGACGTAAAAGATTTAAGTTTATCAGAATTTTCGTTAGACATAATTTATTTTAAAAGTTTAAAATATTTTCAATTATTATTGCTTACTAATTACATAGTTTTGCCTCCTTATACATTTTTTCTATAGTGTTTCATTCCATTCATGTTGGTTATAAATTGTAACATTTAAAAAAAAATTAAAATTGATTTTTCAAGAATAAGCGATAAAACAAATCGCATGATTAAATATCAAAAATATTTAGATGAAATTATTTGAAGATACGTTCATGTAAAATTCTCTGAATTTGAACTTTATTTTGGAAGATATGTATTATTTGTGTTTTTAAAATTTCAGGGTTTTAATTTATAAATAGCAGTTTCTTTTGATGAAACTATCTACAAACATTATGAATCTAAATTAAATGGTTATGTGAATTTATTTAAATATTTTTTTAGGTAAGAATAAAATCACATTTCCAAAATTGACAATATAAAATTTATACTAATATGTATGTAATAAATTTAAAATATCGATGCTCATACTGTGAAATACACAATCAATTAATACTAACAAAAGCATACCAGCTTATTTCGGTAGTCAATATTTGAATTATATCATTTTCCTTCACGTTGCTTTGTTTGATTTATTTTGTTTATTATCATTTACAAATATTGTTTATTTTCAAAGTATTTTTGTATTGTTTTCTGAAAGTAAACAATACTATTTCACTGCAATAAGTGAAACAAAACCTTATATTTTCCATAATGAACTAACTTTTATAAAAGTCCTACACAACTATTCTGAGGATTTAAAAAGAAATCTTCAATAAAAGTTTATGTTATATGACTGATGTATCCAAGATGGGAGAATTAAATGCATAGATTAAAATTTTTATTTAATTTTTTTATGTGAATTACGCATACAAATGAAGAAATGGATTTAACTTTGTGTTAAATAATAATAATTTTTTAATTTTGCAACAAAAATAAAGTTATAGTGTCCATCAATGCATTTTTGTTGTGTGTTCTTTTTACACTTTTTCAGCTACAATTAAGGATTATTTAAAAAAAGTTATATTTATCCGAAGTATGAAACGCCATTTTGGCTGATATTTAATAATTTTGTTGAAATCTATTGCGTTATAGAATGATGGGCATAATTTTGTTCAACATTTTTTTAAGATATTCATTCTGAAACTTAGGTAATTTTATTGTAATATTTATCATTTAAAAAGCATTGTATTGAAGCTTAAATAGTAATTTTTGCTTTATTGTTTCATTTTGGTAATACGGTTTGAAAATATACTATAAATTTTACTATTACTTCTATTATGTTAAGATTACCCTAAATTTAAAATAATATTATTATTAATCATTCACATTATTGTTTTTAAAAAGTAAAAAAAAAGATATAGTTTGAATTTTGAAAAATAGTTTGTGTTCGCTAATTATGTCTGAGACATAAATAAAAAATTTCTTTGGAAAAAGTTGTTAAAAATGTTGAAAATAAATGAAAACCAACTGGGAAGAACGGTTTTTGTCCATTTTTAATAAAAATGTCAATTCCTTACGTATTCAAGACCCCTATCTGTTGTCATTCCCATCTGTTGCATTTTGTGGATTACTAAGTTTTGATAAATCAATTACGTGAATAATCGATTCTCCTCGAGAGTTATTACTCAGTGAAGATGCTCTATATTGTAGAAAAACTCTTCTTTTCCCACACCTTCTGAAAAACTTCTTAAAAACATTCTTTTACCAAATCTGCTCTTATCAAAAATCGTTCTTTCACCGTGGTCTTCAAATATAGTTAAAAATTTTACAAAAAAAAAGTTACGAATAAAAACTTAAAATCTATTCAAAAATTTCTTATGTTTAATTACATTTATGAATCTATTCATTTTATTATTTATTTAATATTTAATTAATTTCAATATTTTTTAAAAAAATCATTCTGAAATATTGTTAATTTTATTGTAACTTAAATCATTAAAAAATAATTCAGTATTGTATTGAAGCTTGAATACTAATTTACGCTTTATTGTTCGATTTTGGTTTTTAAGGATTTAAAATATACTACACATTTTATTATTTTTTTTATTATATTAAGTCTACTCTAAATTTAAAATAAAGCTATTAGTAAGCATTCACATTTCTTTTTCGAAAACGAAATGCATACTTGACATTGTTTCACTGATATGACTATATAAATTCAATTCATAACACTCATCTGAAAAGCTCTCTAAATGTTTTTTACTAGAGTACCTAAATCACTAGTGTTAGTTGACTAGAGTATAAGCACAACAGAAAACTAGATAACATATTATCTATAATAAATAATTTAGTTGAGCCGGTTGAACATTATCACATTATTATGGGTCTTTACGCATAACAACTAATACTGAATCAGTTCGTAAAATGTGCATTACATATACACAGTTCCAGTGTCTATAAAAATAAGAAACTTTTTCTGTAGTAGCCCAAAAACATTTATTTTCTAGAACTACACAAATAGTTTTTGTTCTTATTTGGCATTTGGCAAGTAGATAGTGACCAAAATCGAGTTCATAAATACTTAGAGACACTTAATAAGATAAATAATTATTATCACATCTCAATCTTGGGAATTTCTCTTAGACACAGCTGTGTATCACCCATCTAAAAGGACCAAATATGCATGAAGAAATTCATCATAAAAATACTGAAATTATGCTTTTTAAAACATTTTAAACAGTCTAAGAAACGTAAATATACTCAGCACCTTACAGTACTCGTACGGACATTTTATTCAGTACTTTTAACTGATAAAATTATATGTTTTAAAACATGACAAACAATCCAAGGAACAAAAGTATATTCAGCACCTTAAAGTACTCGTACAAATATTTTATTTAGTACTTTTAAATAAATAAAAGCAATGGAAAAGATTTAAACTCATATTATGCACTACTAAAGTTGTTAAATTATATTTTGATTGTTTCGAACAATAAATAAATCTATATAAAGATGAACTGAAGAAGCTATCCAGTATTCAGTGGTAATAAATTAATTCAATTTAATTATTCAATTAATAAACAGCTGGGAGTATTCACTGTTAATAAATTAAATAATTATCAGTAAAAAATTGAATTTTTAATGAAAGGAATAGCGTAATTTTTTATATACTTCTTTATATATAAAATTATAAATATGAACGAAGCAATATGGGAAAAATTATTTGATGAAATCTGACCAAAATATATTGCAGTTGAAGAAAAGAAACATTTACCAATGAATTGTTATGATATGAAACGAAGCATTATAATTTTTCATATTTTGTAAGGTGATATAAATTGATTATCAAAGTAATAATAATATATATAAGTATAAATAAATTGTATTTCTGAATTGAGTGCTAAATGCGAATAAGAAGAATTTGTGGTTCAATTTATGAATTATTTGTTGCTTTTTATCAAATGTAACTTTTGTGATACGGAAAACTATTTAAACAAATTATAATGAATTGCTAAAGTAAGTGTTAATAGTTACCAACATATTATAAAATATATTACTTAAGACAGAGAATATTTTCCTCCTTAAACTGATGTGTCAATGATGAGAAGGATGATTATGAACTAATATAAATTTAAATATAAATCCTTTTTGGGAAAACTTTGTAAATCTATACACAATACAAAAATGAACTGAATAAATTATCTATTGTTTAGAGCATATTTTTAAAATCATAAATGACAAATCAAATTATGTATGAGATTATCAGAAAATAAAAGAAGACATTACCTTACTTTTTGATTGTTAAATTACAGTAGTCACGAATGTTTTTGTATGAAATTGTTATCCCTATTTGTGATGATCAGTTGACGAGTTTGAGAAGTTACACCCCTTCAATTCCGTGAATACCTCTGTAAAATAGCTAGGCTCACTATTTATTCTCAGCATTTTTGCACTGAGTAGATTGATAATCAACAAGCACCGATCCCAAAATCTTTCCTTTGAATCATCAACAAGAAATGGCTTTAGAGGATACGATATTTCGTTACCCATGTACGAATAGCTTAGGTATAGGCATGTGAGCACAACCGATTGCAGCTCCCTTTCACTGTCGATATCTTCATTTACTAGTTCTCTTATTAGCAAGTAGAGAAAGACGACGTTGGCCGGGTTAATGAATGCAATATCTTGCCATCCTTGTAGCAAGAGACTTCGATCTACAGATCTGAGCCACAGAACAGCGTCAGCTGGTTGTATATCTCTCAGCTTCCAGCACCTTTTGCACAGGAATTCTCCAAGGCATCGAAGCAACTCTGATGTTGACGCCTGTATCACTGTCTTCTTGTGTTGTTGGCTCGGACTGATGACAGAGTTGCCTTTGCTGTTGACATTGAGCGAAGCACCATGATGGTAATGCTGGTTATGGGATTTGTGGCTGCTGCCGGAAATGTGGCTAATTAGTGGTCTCACCAAATTGTGAGCTGCTAACACCGATGGTTTGGATGGTGGTAAAGATGGTGGCATTTTATGGTGACGGTCACCCCCGACCGCAGTATTTCGAACCACGACATCCAAGGCCGCCACTGTGGAGGTTTTAAGATTGTAGCACGACACTGATTTTTGAATATTCTTTTTATTGTCAACCACATTGTTCAAGTTGTCCAGTGGCTGGCGGGAAGAGTTTTTGTTTTTGTCCAATTTCCTTCTAGTGGACGATGTTAGAGTTTTCCAACTCAGCGCGTTGATAAATAAAGAGTGCTTTTTAAAGTTCGAATTGTGAGTGTGATTGAGATTATCAACAATATTTCCGTTCTTTTCCTTCATTTTGGCATTGTTAAGTTGCTCATAATTGAATCCATTGTGAGTAAATTCCCCGTAAGTAGGCTTACGATCTCGGGGAGATATGCTTAACACAGTCCCCATTTTGTTGTTTCGATTTCACACGAAGTACGAAATCAAAAGAATCAATCACAACGAATAGCCACTCACCGTAAAAGCCAATCGACCTTGGAGGTCAAAAGTAAGAGTTTCTGGTTCGATAATGAGAACTTTCATCGTATAAAAGAAAAGTGCTGTTATTTTTCACCAGGCTCAACAATCACAATAAATGAAACAAATTTCGACAAGGAAACAGTATTATTCTTCAAATAAACACAGATCTTATTTTCCTGGATGATGCTTCAAACATGTCTGCTCACGTTCTCCTGGCTCTCCGATCGCTTGATCGAAGAAGATTTGCATGGAACAGTTGCCATGGTGATGCAGAGGGTAGTGAATGGCAGCCGCATGTGGGCGGAGTTCGTGACGTATTCACTCTCTGATTTGTCAATATTACCCGTACTACTGACGATTAAACTAATATTAAAACATATAGAGAATAATTTTTTTTTCGAGGGGCACTAATAGTGAACTGTGATTGAAAAATGAGAAAAAAAAAGAAAACGCAACAACTATAGAGGTTTTGAAGATTGCAAAGAAGATAGGGTGAAAAGTCATATTTATTAGAAAATATACTTTTAAAATTGTATCAGATAGTTAAATTTTAAGTTTTTGATTTTTCTTTTTGGGTTAAGAAGAAGTTATACTCTTGTTTTCTTCATTTTTGTAATAAAACATTCTAAAATAATAAAAAGGGTTCTACATTTTGTAGTGAAATAAATTTTACATAAATAAATATAAATTGTTATGTGAGAAAGAAATGACGGAAAAGTTACGTGACTGTAAATTGAAAATAAAATAGTTTTGTAAGTTCACAAACAACATTTTAAAGTTAATTTTAGTTTTACAAGAACCCATTGAAATCATTTAAATTTTTCATAAAGATGTTTATATATTCCTCACTATATATTTGTGGAAATTTAATTTTTTTTCAAATCTATAAATTTTAGTGTTTTTAGTTGCAATAAATTGTAAATAAAATTGAAGCCTTAAAAAGGAATTATATAATATTTTAAGTTTAATGTAGAGAATTACACAAACAAAGGTTTTCATTCTCCAAATTACTTAAAAGGTTAAATTGCGAAATTTTATTTCTTTTAGAATTTTCAATCAAAAATGCAATCTATAATGTTTAAAAATTTTAAATTTTGTTGATATATACATATATATCGAAAAAATTCATTCTTATTTTGTAGGTATTATATGAAATGTAGTTACAATACTAGAAACAAATTGTATGAAGTTCAATATGATTTTAAAATGCCTATGTACGCTTACATATTTTACTCTAATGTTACATTATTTCGTGTACTTATATTTAATTATTTTTTGTCTCGTACATTTCATTTGTAACTCTTTCTTTATAATTGTCAATTGTATTTGATTGGAGATCCGCAAATTCAAATTCTAAATTAAGTTTGAATCAGTTCAGTGATCTTAACTTATTTGTTTAATTAATTGTTCGAGTGGCAGCGTTACAAAAGTTTGGGTCATTTTTTTATTTTTCTTTTAGCATTTGACAATGGGAGAACAACAATGAATCGATTGGTGGGAAAACTGCAGATCATACCAGAGTGGGTTCAGAGTTAAGACTCAAGTATCTTAGAATCATACCGTTAGAAGGTGAAAAAAATAAGAAATAAATATAATTAATTAAACTATTTGTTTTCTATTTCTCCGAAGGCACATTATAATTTGTTTGACAAAAGAAAATTTTAATCTGATTAAAATTATCTTTTTTTTCCTACTATATTTCAACATTTTATTTAGCTTCAGGAGGGATGACAGATGTTGCTTTTAATTAATTGTACACATTAATTTGCAAATATTTTATTTAATTCTAAATTATTTTCTAACATTTAAACTTAGTCTGTTATAGATTAACCTTAAGTCGCATGGAAGGACCAACGGCATGTTTGATTTATGTGTGCATGCATGTCTAACTTATACTTCTTGTATTGCTATTGGTTTAGTTGCAATTTTAGCCTTTTTCACAAACAATGGAATAAATATTGTACTTCACTGAGTTTTTCCTCAATGAAATGAAATCTAAATGAATCCCCAGCTCCAAAATATATTTTAATTAACGTGATGACTTTTGTATCATTAGAGCACAAGCTTATTTTGTCTTTTTTTAATTATGTTTACATACTTGTTGAATTTTACTAAAGAAAACCAGATTGTTTATCACGCAATTAAGTTAATCTGGCTATTTGTCATTATTAAGTTCTCCTCAAAAACAATCCATTTTGTTACTCATTTATTTATAAAATTAGAGAGGATTTAGAGAATTTACTGAATTTTATAAAATGAGAAATTCTTTTTAGATACATTAATTATATTTATTTTATATCCTGTTTGGAAAAGTAATTCACATCTATGATAAAGTATTTCTTTCTTTCCACAGTATATTGCTGTTTATGCTAATGAAGTGGTATTTCTTAGAATTGTGAATTGCTTTAATAAAATTAGTCTGTTAAATAAAGTAATTTGGTTATTTAATTTATTCATTATTTTTCAATTAATTTAATTAAGTAAATTGATAAATCAAAGTGCAATATTTATTTCTAGATATAATCTTTCAGATATGATAATTCCATATCATCCAATTTGGCCACAAAGTTATATCCATTTAACATCAAACCTATTGCAGATGAATTAAATTTTTTAAGATAATAATTTCGTGATTAATTAAATGATTGACTCAGAAAATAAAGTATTTCATTTCAATTATGAGTTGCTAATACAATTGTATCTTTTTTTGATTAAAGTTACAACTTTTGCTTTTAAGGGTTCCAGAGGGTATATCATAAAAAGTTTTCTATCTCTTAAAAATATATTTTATGACTTGCTATATTCTAAGTAATCTAATACCAAATACAAGATAATATTAAAAATGCTTCTAAAATTACAACAAAATTACTGAAATCCATTCACTGAGAGCAAAAAATAACACACCTATTTTATAAACTGGAATCGTCAACAAACTCAAGAAATGTTGCTCAAATTTATTTATTCAAAGTTTTGTCTTTAAGTGCTGCCATCTAGTGTGGAAGAAACTAGAAATCCAAATTAAGATGGCCAAAGGTATCTCACCCATTGTGGTGGTCCTGAAAGACTGGATACCACTTCTGGTGAACCGCACTAGGTCTGCTCATCGGGAAGACTGATTGTGCAGCTCATTGGAAATAAAAGTTTTGTCTTTAATTTGCTTAGCTTAATTGAAATTTTTTCATCTTTCTTTCACATTTTCTCGACTTCTAATAAACTTATTAAATAAAAATTTGATTACCGATTTGAGTATAGCTTGCTACGCATGTTACTTAAATCTCTATTAGCTCTTGAATATTAGTAAATATTTAATAATATTATTTATTGCTTGTTTAAAAACTTCATTCGTTTCAAAAATATACAAATCGGAAATAAAAGTCAACGTATCTCAAACGCTCAAAAATATGAGCCCATTTTCAAGATATGCCAGACGTGAATGAGAAGAAACAAAAATGATCTGGAATATAAAACGTAAAGTCGCCAACGAAGATTGAAAAAAATAAAGGTGAGAAGCAAAACTAGAAAAAAACCCTGTTTTTTTTTACTGTGTAATTGAAAAAAAAATCAGAAACCATTGCGGAGATGCCAAGATGTTTTGAAACATTAATTTGTGAATTATTTTCAGCGTTTTCTGGTGTGTTATGTAACAAATTTCCTTTGAAGTATTTTTTGAATTTGAAAAGAAACAGAGCTTAAGAAAGTTTAAATTGACTTAAACTTTAATTGCAAGATAAAATTAAATCCAATGATTAATTTGATAAGTAATGAAGATGGAGTAATTATATTTCTTTAAATAAGCAAGTTCGTAATATTTATTTTTGGTAATTCTTTTAAAATTTACTGCTGTTGCAAAATTATTTGAGATTCGCTTTTTTAAGACGAAAAAAAAAATGATTTGACTTTTTCTTTCTTACGTTAAAACCACTGGTTGTCTCGCTTTGCAAATAATAGAGATCTGTTGAAACCATAGGCTGAAGCAATAAATATAAATGAGCTTCGGTTGATGTTTCTTTTGCGTTAAGAAAAAAAAAGGTTATTTTCGTGGCAGAAATGTTAAGAGATGAAAAGAAGATTTCTGGCATGTCAGACTACTTCTTAACGGAATACAAGTGGAATAAATATTTTATTCTAGGTTGTTATCTATGGCAGCAATCTAGAAATGTATCATTTATAAGAATTTCTATTCTTTTAAAACTTATTTTAATGAAATCTAAAATATGCTTTAATGATAATTTAAATCTTTATTTACTTTTGCATGCTAATGTATTTATCATTTTTTAACTCTTAAAAATTTAATATATTTTGCTTACTTATAAGAGAAAATTTAATTGCTTTCTTTTAGTCTTTATGAATAGTTTACTAAATTTTAGATGGTTTTTTGTACTTTGTTCATTAATGCTTTATCTACAGTATTTTCTATACCTTATTTTAAGGAGTATTCTTAAATCACTTTAATTTAAGCTTTTCATTTAATTTTGTTTTATTAAACATGTAATATTCCGTTTGACCAATTTTTTGTACTCATATTTTTTAATTTTATTTTAATAAAATAATGAAGATAAATAAAATAAAAGTGAACGCAAACAGTTTCAAATAAAACTACCATACTGTATTGTAACAACATTCTGGATAAAAAAAATATAATTCTAGTAATAAAAACCAAAATGGTATTTATTACTAAATGGTATTTAAACCATTCATTTGGTAATTTTTCCGTTCATATGTTAACGGTTCACCGGAAATTCTGGTTCCCAAAATCATAATTCTTATTACTACATATTTAGTAAAAAATAGAAAATTAGTAAGTAAATTTAACCGAGTAAGTGAGTTTTAAGCATGGCTTTAAGGTATCAAGAAAAAATTACTCGAATTTATAACATTTATCATATTTTGGTAGTTTTGACTTTCCTATATTAAAGCTGTTCTTCGATGACCCTGAATGACCCTGTTGTCGAAATGACCCTGTTGTCGAAATGACTTGTCTACCAAATGGTATGTCGACGAAATGACCTAGTCGTTGAAATGATCTATTGATGAAGTGTTGTCGACGGAACGGCCTGTCGATGAAGTGATTGTCACCTAAATTAATGGAACCCGGAAAATTAAACTATATTTCAATACAGACAATCGGTTAATAAATATATATAAAAAGATAAAAACATAAAAAATATTGTTTAAAATAATAAAATTATTTTAATATCTTCGATGTATAGGACTCTTGCATTGA